GGTCACCAAGTCGTGTATATTTATAGTGTCAACAGTAATCGTAATTTTTCGTAATTTTTCAATGCTATTACTGGATTCTCAGACAGGTTTTTTCAGGGTACATCTCAACCACATATGATATGTACCTCTATATTGTATACACTCATGTCGTAAAAAAACAATTGATCATTTTTTAACGTCATCAGGAGTATTACATAGATGCATTAATCATTCTGTTTAGATTTCGAGGTGCCATGTATACTATTTTTTGTATTTCAAAATTCCATTTTTTTATTTGTGGTTCAATAATAATAAAAATGTCTATCGRTGTACCTACATCTAAACTATAGAACATACTGAAATACATTTGMCGGGATACTTATTTTACTTATTTCCAGTGTTCCTTGGCGATTTCGGATTTATGGCTTTTGTGTGGATATCCGGTCCGTGAAATTACGACGTAGCAGTTAGATCAAATTGAGCACTTCAGATGAGTACCCATAAGCGTGCGCAGGTATTCTTAGCAGGGGAGGCAATACCTTAGCTAAGGAGGTCCAGAATYCAATCCCCCCACCCGATTTTCCACAATTGGTAGGTATAATATTATATTTTGGTGAAGCGAAAAATCTCGCAGGGGAGGCAGCCGTCTCCCCTGCCTCCCCCGTGCGCACGCTTTTGTGAGTACCTATCTATCGGTGATTTTCAAAAATGATTGTGACTATTATTCAATACTGTATAGTTTATACTATAAAATATTATATACTTTAATATTATTATATAGGTATAACATAACTATATCATCGCTCTCCAGATAAAGTGTCAGTCGAAGAATGTTATATTAATTGTTTATTTATTTTGGCATAATCTATTCAATAATATATTAACTTAGTGTAAGTTATAGAATTARAGCTGATACGAGTACTTACCGAGCTATRMTCGTATAGTCATATTTTCTGATATATTATATAGTTTTATATATTTCGAATATTGTATATTGTTTTTGGTTGTATCCATGGGATTTGAACTAATAAGTGCCATATAAGGAAGATTTATGCACTTGACTATTCTTCGATCTATTATTTATTTTTTAATATCAGGTATGTGCCATTGTATGGAGTTTATTAGGATTTTTTTAATGCATATTTTATAAATGAAYAAATTATTTKTTTTCTTAAATATCTCACCTGTTGGACATATTTATGAAAAGGAGCACGTTACTTTTTTAATATGGGAAATATGTATCTATTATATAAAAATTACAGTTTTATTCATACCTTCTAATTATGCTATACCACAACGATATAGTGTTGACCTACACATTGTTATGTATACCTACCTTGGTTTTATGTAAGATTTATTTAAACAACGAATTTAATAAAATAAATCAACTAATCTTCTCAATTTATATTTTATACTCTGTAATGGTGTAAAATATATTATGACCATTTTAAATTAAGATATATCATCAATCATAAATATTTAAGTCAAAAATACTATTTTAATTTGTTTACAATTCAAACTGGTCATTTAACCATCACGTTTATGTATTATGCATTAATTATATTCAATAGAAACTTATGAGCAATTAACGACTTATGCATACTGAATTTATACATATTTAGCGATACCAGATTTTTTTAATCCACTCATATATCGTACGTCAATTTCAACTGTTTGTTGAAATTAACCCATTTATAATCAAAATTAACTAGAGCTATATCACTGGAAAATATGAATAATTTACCAAAAAATATTGAATAATGATACCGATATTGAGTTAATATAAATAAAAAATAGTTTTGGTTCAAAAGATGGTACTGTGGTAGATTCCTATTGGAAGGGACCATAATCTTTGACATAACAATAACTACTACAATATAAATCGTGTAAATTGCTTTACTTATTTTCTTCTATGAAACCAAAATTAGATCAGACCAAAATTCATCTGATGTAACGAATGTTTATTTGAACCATATTATTATTATAAATTGTAATATTTCAAG